CTCTGTGTCTTTTCTTCTTTTTTTTTTAAATATTTCCATTACAATTGTTCGAATGAGCTCTCTTCCTCGGTACCTCTACAGCATGAATTTAAATGTACTACTGGGTTGGCAGATAGGTCCCATCGTTTTACTGTTGAAATATCTAGATGTAATATATATTATATTCTAATAGTTTCTTTCCTCTCACTTCTCGTTTGTGGAAAAATATCCTATTTGTTTTTTTCTTCTACTGCCACCTACGATCTTCCAAAAATTAAAAGCAACGCCAATCACCATCTTCTGTCTTCCTGAATCCCGTTTTTTTAATGCCCTTTCTCTTCACTAAAGTCTTCTCATTCTCTTTCACTCTCAGCATCCCCTCGCGACTTAGTTGCTTTATTGCCTTGCTTTAGGGGAAATTATTTTTTTAATCTATATCTGCATAATGAAGATCAGAATGAGTCGTGAAACAGACAGTCAGCATACAGTGTTGATACCCGTGTCCTGAATGTCTATATCGGCAAACGCTCTGTCCCCGATATTAAACATCTTTTCATCTAGAATTATAGCAAATTTTAAACAATATATATGTATGTAGGGTATATTTGTGTATATGTGTGTTACTATTAAATGTATATTTCCTACTTGCTGCCATCTGTTAATATTTTATATTACTGAAACACTTAAGCGACTCCTTTGAAAGATAGCTTTTTATGCAGCTTCTCATTATCATAACATATTTGAAATGATAGTCTGCTATCAAAATTTTGGAATTGGATAACTCAGCAGAAAACACAACGTATTTTTGAAACCGCCCGCCACATGTGAAAACCCGCACGTGCGAACATTCCGACACAGCCCAACCTAAGACGAAGGTGAATTCTGTAAATTTGGTGCCTCTATTATTGATATTTTGTTCAGAAAAGATGGCGTTAAATCATGCTGAATGTGTAAAATGATTGACAGTAGCTGTTCGTCTTACGTCAACGCATCGTAAATAAATGTTTGGCAAAAAAAAAAAAAAAAAAAAGAAAAGAAAAAAAAGTCGTTCCGGCGCATTTGTTGATCATGGGTGGGTACCACACACGAACAACTTAGCATTCCGGAAATCTAGGTGACCAGAAAAATCTTAAGGAGGATGATAAGCCAAGAACCGAAAAGAAAAACTAACGCTATAACCCATCAGCAAAGATTTAATTTTAGAAACTTCCTGCTTGGTAAATGGTCAAAATTTACAATCACCTGATTTGGGTGTAAAGACTTTTTTTTTTTTTTTACTCATGTCCACAAATTACAAGGGCCACACTAAGTAGAGGATTACTGTTTACTGTTCATTTATTATTTATTATTATTCGCACAAATACACACGCACCCATATATATATATATATATATATATATATATATATATATATATATATATATATATATATATATATATATATATTTAGTTGGATGTTTCACGCTTTAGCGATCGTCAGACTGACGATCGCTAAAACGTGAAACCCAGGGTCACAAACTCACATCTATCCAACCAAATATGTTAGCTCTATCTCTGATATTGAGCGCTTTCTAATAATTACCGCGCATATAATATATAAATAATTATACATACTTATATTTATTTATATTTACATACACTTTTCACACACACACACACACACACACATATATATATAAGCTTAAATAAAACGGAAACTATTTTTTATTTTCTTATTCTGTAACTAGTGGACAGCTATTATATATATATATATATAAGAAAATCAGATTATATATCCTACCGTTCTTTCCTTTTTACTATATATATATATATATATATATATATATATATATATATATATATATATATATAATAGCTGTCTACTAGTTACAGAATAAGAAAATAAAGAATAGGTTCGGTTTTCTTCAAGCTTATATATATATATATGTTTGTAAATATAAAAGTGGATTGTGAAGTCAGCGGTGACAGTTTCGTCCATGCTTACACGCAAGCGTCAGACCATTACATAAGGCTCTATCCCGGATATCAAGCACTTAAACCATAAATATAGCATACCTTAAAACTATACTTTATTTTCGTCCTTTTAAAAGGACTCTGGTGAAATAAATTATTATAATGGTACCTTAAAGTGGTCTGTTTTTTTTTATATATATATATATATGAATTAACGTTATCGTCCAACATACACCTCTATAGACAAGCGTTTCTTTACTTAGACACTCTTACACTATCACACACTTCGCTTTAACATCCTAATTGTTCCTCACACATATTTGTATTGTATCTATTGCATTTGCACACGTGGCGGGTTGATTTGCAACTTTTTTCAGAAAATCAACACAGCACTGGTCATGATAGTTGGGATTTGATGGGATAAAAACAGATACCAAAAATTAGATTCCTATCTTGAAAAGAAAATTGAGTATTTAATTATAAAAATCGTATGGAAAAATGCTGAGAAATCCTTAATTTTCATAGCGTTTTACTAGAAACTGACTTTGAAATTTTACTATTTTAGTAATAAATTCAGTTAAAATTGATATATTTATATGAAATACATTGAAAATATATATATTTATATGAAATACATTGAAAATATATATATATATGAATTATAATTTTCATTATGAATCACAACTAGCAAAATATCTCAACTTTTACAGCATTGATTAAACAAAAATTGTTAAAAGACTAATTAGCAACTGAGTCTTTTAAATTTCACAAATCAAAAAGATATGTTAAGATGTATTACACAATAAAACAACTGGATACAAGTCAGAGAACCAAGTATTTTAAATTTTGTGGCACCATGCATAATTAGAAAACTGAAAAGAGATGTTCATAAATATATATTTGTTTTTTCGGTTTGTTAACCATTTGAGAATTATTTAGAGCTGAAAAATATTTGGGTTTTGAGAATAATTCTTTAATTGCGTTCAGACGATCTGAGAGAAAGAAAGAAAGAAAGAAAAGAAAAGGAAGGAAAGAAAGGAGAAAAATAAATAATACGAAACCAGGTCGTAAGCGAAAACACACACGCTCGACTGGCACATATCAGATGTCAAAAATATCAGGTCAAGCCCATGACCTACTTTCGGTGTCCACGAAAGATGGGAGTTGTTATCAATTTGGCTGAAGAAATAAAATTTTAGGGACAATGAAAAAAAAAATATTGATAAGTAACAAATGAAAAGGATGTCATTGAGATGATAGGTAACAGATGGGGAAGTGTATCTAAGGATATGAAAACAAAGCATTAATACAAGAACCCAGACAATTTCTAGAGTTGAAAAAAAAAACACCCAAGGTGATGTCGCTTTTTGAGATAATACAGATTTTTATTATCGGCCGGGGAGAATGAAATATTTTGTTGCGTTCAGACGGCCGCCGACAGGTCTAAGAAATTCTTTTCTTAGATCGTATCCAATTAGCGATAGGCTGTTTTGACAGATACCACGTGTAAAAGAAACCGGGATCGTCATTTTCGTACGAAAAGGACAATTTAAATTTTGTTTTTTTAAGCAAGGTATTTCTTCCCCCAGAACAAAGCCACGGATTGTCCACGCCCGATTAGAGACGTCACGAAGGAAGGAGGAAAGATACCGACCAGCGTCTCATTGGCCGAGGGCGGTCACGTGATACATGAGGGAGGAGGGGACCGACCAGGACCCCCGACCAGGACCATGATGGCCGAGAGAGGGATGCCCGACCAGGACATGTCGAGACGAAGGACCAGGGGAAGGGGGTATACGCCTCCCCAGAGGCACAGTAAGGAAGTAGGAGGAAAGTAAGTTACCGATAATGGAAAATCCCTAATCAGAAATAATACGTCTTTAGAATTATCAAGGAAACCCTGGCGCCGACCCAGACCCAGGACCCAATCGACAGAAATCAGTTTTTGACTGCCTCAACGAAAAAGCAGGACCCCAATCGACAGAAATCAGTTGGAGGTTGCGCCTCAACCCAAGACGAAGAAATTGCAGTTGGAGCCGAAGTGAATAAGCCGGACGACGAGAGAAATCAGCCGTGAACGACAGGTAGAGATCAGCCGTGAACGACAGGTAGAGATCAGCGCCCAGTTGAAACCAAACCACACCCCGAAATGCAAATTTCTAGAGAGCAGGCAACTCGAAGCCTTAAATTTATATGGTAGAAGCTTGGTGCCACAGTCCACAAAACGGGTCGGGAGGTAGGAATAATCTTGTGTAACGAACATTTAGATATAAAAAGTTGTTACCTTTTTCTTCAATAATTTTTGACCTTGTGAGTTTTTTTTTTTCTTGTGTGTTATCACCCCGTTGGACTCAGCTTGCATACGGCCCCAATCCTGTTTGGTCCCGTCTGTCTAAGATCTAATCACAACGTGGGTAGGCAGACCGGAGATCAGTACAGTTACCCTAGTAACCAGGCGTTGGAAGCGAGTTGGGAACGACGAGGCTGGTATTCATCTAACCAAAGGGTTAGAACGTCACACTTGGAGCAGCGAGGAGCGAACAGCTGACGCCGCGGCAAAGACGTCACAACTGGTGTCGTGACCATAGGATCAGAACCCTGGACCACGTCACGTCACAGTTGGCGTCGCGAACGGGATCGAACGACACAGTCGACGCTGCGACCAGGGGGGACGACGTCACAATTTTATTGAACACAATAATAAAAACTATGTTATAATAGAACTAAATTGTTCTGCGTAATTTTCTTTTGAGGAAAATGAAGGCCTAATTTGGTGGCACAATGACTTCGTAATAATGTGTCTATGTCTTGCTTCCTGCCATATACAACTTGTGAAGCTTCTGTTGTTAATTTCACAGCCCTTTCAACCCCTTGTGAATGGGCAGGTAATTTAGGAAGTTCTAGTTTAGTTCGTGTCATAGATGATTTCTCAAGTTCTTCATTTGTAAAACACTCTGTAAGGGCAGGTTCACAAACTCCAGTTTGAGAAAGATCAATCAAATTTGACCAGTGTGTGGCTGCAAAATTGATAGCAGTAATCTTTTTCAATCTTTTTTTTGGTGGTTCACTATCTCTGAAAAAAAAAAACAAAAAAAAAACAATTTTTTGAAAACTTACTAATTTTTTTTATATTTTTGTGATGTAATTTGAATAAAACTGACTAAAAGCAAAAGCACTATATTTTAAACTGTTAAAAACAGTATTTTGGATTTCCGTTGACTGTTTTTTTGTCCTCTGAATCATATTAAAGATATACAGTTGTTGGTTAAAAAAATTATTGTCGGTTTTGATCTCAAACCAACTAACTGCATACACTTGAATGATAAATTTGACCAGAGTGTTTAATTTATCATAGAGTGTTTGAGGATAGACACCTCTGGTCCATAAACACATTAACCTTGTGGCTAATGTTAACCATCTTGCTTGATTCAAGGGCCCAATTTTCCAAGCTGCATATCTTGGGTTAACTTCTCCTCGGGAAATGCCAACAGCAGACTCAAAAAGTAGCCTCTGGTCTCCACTTAAATTATTTGTTTCTTCTGCCGTCAGATAATGATAATCTAGAGGGCCACTAATTTTTTTAAATTCTACTTGAGGCAAATCTTGATACTTATTGATACAAAGTTTCCCTAAAGGACCAGTAAATGTTGTTGGGCTTCTTGTTGTTCCATCAATTAATTTAAAAATTGCTCTAAATGGCAGTTCATTCTGATGAAGTGAACAGCCAATAGTATGTAATTTTTTGTTAATTTTTTTTCAAGAGCTGTAATAAGTCCTGCTTCACAGCCAGTGTTTGTACTGGTATTGTCCACCAAAATTGCTTTAACAATATCTACTGTTATACTCTGTTAAAACTGCAACAACATCTTCAGCTAAGAGAACACCAGTTGCCCCCAGGTTGGGTATCACTCTATGGGTAAAATATTTGCTCTCTGTTCCTGTTTCTCTGGTGAAAGTTAAGTGGCGCTCTGCTCCTTTGTTTTTCACTATCTTTTTTCTGCCATTTTTATCTACAACTTTTTTGTATTGTAAAGTGTCCTTATCAACTCTACAATCAATTCCAACACAAACTAGATTCTCATTTTCATGGACATGCTTCACATGGCTGGATAGTTTTATTCTAGCCTTTTCTCTGTCAATTTTTGACTTATCTAAAATGATGTCCTTTAAATTTACCTTTGGGTAAAGAAGATCCATATGTTTTAGGTCCAGCAGAAAGGCATTGGCTAGGCAAGCACCAAGATTAGAAGATACATCACCTCTGATGAGTTCCATAGAACATCTTGGGATTTTTAAAAGGCTGTAAGGTCCCTTTGGCTGCCTTCCTGGGTCAAAACTGTCGTCAGTTGTTCCTTCACTAGAAGATGACTGTAGTGAAATATTTGGGGAAGCTTGTTCCTGTCTTTCACTTTGCCTCTCCACTTCAGCAGACTTTCTTTTGTATTTTTTTATAGCACCTTTGTCGATAGGTCCCAGTTGATAACGACCTTTTGGCCCTGTTTTTTTCCCTCTGGTCCTTTAAGTATTCTCTGTCTTCTAGGGAAACCTGAAAATTGCAAAATTTGCATGTTTAATAATAGATCCAGAATACATCACAAATACCAATATATTATTTTATTTTCCACAAAAAGGAACATAATTGCAGGTGAATCTAGTTTTCGATTATTTCAAATGTTACAAATTGGTATTCAAATTATACTAAGTTAAAAAGGAATCATAGAATTAATCTTACCTTCTTGTTAGGAGGACAAGTGCAGACTGTCTTGTTTGACAGATTTCTGTCTTGCACTGTACTGCAAAGGCATCACATCTCAAGACAGGAAGTTTACAGCTACAAGAAGATATATCAAACAGTTTGTCCAGCTGTTCCTTCATTCTTTTCACTTTGGTTGCTGCAAGAGATTTCCTGTCAATCTGTTTGGCCCTCTTATAGCAAAATATATCGACCTTCTGTCCTATATAACGTTCCCTTAACAAGGGCAATTGTGGATTAACTGCTTGCCAAATACTAGTTATTTCCTTGGCAATTAACTTAGAAATCTCACAATTTTTTAAGTGGGGATAGTTGTTTTCTAGGAAATAACTAAACTGGATGACTTGTCGTAAAGTTGGGGGTTCTGTTTTATCCAAACAACATGGTGGACTAGCAAATCTTTGTGAACTACGTGTTAAAATTGAACGTCGTGCTTTCACTGACATTTTAATCTGAAAAAAAATAAATGGATGATAACTAAACCAAACTGTTTTAGGCTATCTTCCAGTTTCATATGTAAAAAAAATAACTGCTAGTTATGGTAAGGAGTAATGAAAAACCTTGGAGAGTTGAAGTAGCTTTATTGAGAAGACAGGAGCAGACCAGACCAGAGACATACTAGTGCTTAGTTTAGACTAAATTTTTTTTTTTTTTTTTTTAACAGACTCCTCTTTGGATAACATGAATTTATCCATAAAACGATTCATTCTTGCTGTAGCTGTGCCATTTTAAACGAGTCTGTAGTGTTTTAGAGTTTGAAAAACTTTTAAAGCAATTTCTTTATTTACTCATATTAACCTTTGTGGGTTATCTGATTTTAAAACTATAATTTTAGAAAAACAATACTGCTTAAAAAAAAAATTACCCTCTAAAAATAAAAATTTGTCACTAATTTTCTGCAAAGTAATTTTTTTATTAACTAGAAAATCTTGAAAATTTACGTGGTTATGTTTCGTAAAGAATGTGTAGAATAAAATTGTATGGGCTATTTCTTTTTAAATATAAAACTGGAATTTTACCATATTTTAATAAAAACTTCAAATAGAATTTATTGTGAAATAGAAAAACAAATTAAAGAAAAATGTTAACTTACCATAAACGGGAATAATTTCTTCAGAGGATGAAACAAATACGTTTAAATTCGCTGCAGACACTTAAAATATAATAATATATATTTTAAACAAGTCTTTTTTCGTTTTTCCTTTCGAAATAATTAGGTCTTTAGCCTAAAATTGTTATTTTTTAAATTAAAAAATAAACGGACGTTAATTTCTCAAGCAATAACAAGCGTGTGTTGACAACGGTGTAAACTAAAATGTTCCCACCAAAGAAAGTTCCTGGGGGGGGAAAAAGCAAACTTCTGTCGCTATTACTTAAAAACACAATTTTGCGTTTACGGTTAATATTTATTTTATGAATTCATTATCCTCACTCATTTTCTTTAGTGTATGAAAAAAGTGTAGATTAAAACATATTCTAAATAATGATTTCATTTTCCTAACGGTACGGATTGTTTTGACAACGGGACGTTCTTAACAATTCACCGAAAAACTTTTAATTGCTGCAATTTTTCAACATTTAAAGTCATTTCCTCAAACGAAGGTAACGATTTGGGAAAAAATATTTGGTGTAGTTATTTTTTATGTCAAACCCCAACTATCATCACCATTGCATCACCGGGGTTCCAAAATCGACCTGCCCTGACGTGACGCGTGTCTGACCAATGAAAACTACTAAAACTCAGAACATGCCACTACTCTGTCTCTTTGAATTTTCTTTTCTATTCTCGATCTCTGACGAAGCCTTAATAAATGTGAAACATGTTAAATTAAGATTCGTTCCCTACTTTCTTCTTTATTATATTTCATCATCTTGTCAGATCCCTATCCATATTTGCTCTCCCTCTCTCTCTCTCCGTATATATATATATATATATGTTGTTGCCTTGTTAGGGCCAGAAATAAAGACGTAAAGAGAGGAATTTAGTTAAACTAATACATTAACAGAAACAGTAATAGAAACATATACAAACGAGAGTTTTACAGCAAGAATGTTCGGTCCGACAGTCAGAGCGGACAGCTGGAAACTTCCCTCTACAAAAAAGCAGTTCCTGCTCCTATTTATAGCTGGTAGAGTCCATGAGTGCGAGGGTAAATTGCCATAATAATATATATATATATATATATATATATATATATATATATATATATATATATATATATAGGGTACTATGTACGTGTATTATTCTTTTAACTAAATGAACTCACACTGTTTGGGTCATGTCAATACCCGGTTAAGGCAGTAAAGAACTTGGGGAGGGGAATTAACAGGAGATTACTGATAACTGACATCCATTAAACATGCTCCGGCCTTCTTCAGGTAGTTGGAATGTCGAACTGAACCCTTTATTTCGCTCACTGGGGTAAAACGACTTTATTGTCCTTGAGGACACATGGTACAGTGGATAAAGGCTTTGGTTAGATCCAGTGACAGGACCCAAAGAGTGTGAGTTCAATACCCGGTTAAGGCAGTGGAGAATTTTCAGAGGGAAATTAACAGGAGATAACTGACATCCATCAAACATGGCACGTGGAACTAGAACAGTCTACTCCAGTGAGCGAAATAAAGGGTTTAGTTCGAGATTCCAACCACCTGAAGAAGGCCGAAGCGTACAGCGGCCGAAACGTTGTAATGAATATGCCGACAAAGATGAGGACAATAGTCCGAATAATATAAATAGTGTACATAATACCTCATCTCAGAAATATAGACAGTTATGTTTTAATTCAGTCAATCAATTATGTTCCATGCGTGATACACGCTTAGGCGATCGTGTATCTTTCGCTACATGACTGACGAGGCAGATTTTTTCTTGCAGTAGTTTCCATTTCTTTCTGAGTTAGACCAGTTGCCATCCAAGCCTACAGAACCTGTTTTTTTCTGATATTTGCCCATAGCTAGGGGGAGAAGAAGAGGATTCATATCTTTTCCAATGCTATTAGCACCTAAGTAAATGTAATGGATTCGACTGGAATTCGAACTTGCCTCTCCAATTCCGCAATCCGAGCTCTTATCGATTACTCCACCGTGCCTCCTTTTCTTTTAATTAAGTGGACTAACTACTGCACATGATGAACATTGACATCGTCACATGAGGAGTGATCAGAGAGAATAACATTCATCTTCTCAGCTATTCCGTCAAAAATCACAATTCTATTTTTCTGAGGATTATAATGAAATCGAAAGGCATACAATGAAAAAGGGCAACGTGACAGTATATGAATGGGAAATCAGTGCTCTTACTGTTAGGATCTTAGTCATGTGGGAAGCCATCTTTGATATATGTCCCAGCTTATGGTCAATGCGATTTAGAAGACCATGTTTTGTGTTTAGAGGTGAGTAACCTGGTGTTGTAAATTTTGGGACTGTAATAGACTGAGTCCAGTTTTTGATTGGAAATGAGATCAGTTTTTATATTTCGAAGATGAATCCGACTTCTGGTATGTTAGAACGTAGACGCTTTATAATAGTGTAGGATAGTGGCTCCCAAACGGCGCGGCACACCTCATAGCTGCGGCTGAAGAGGATAGCAGGTGAGGCGGAATGATTGAAACACAATCAAAGATTTAGAAACTGTTTCAAAAAATTCATATGCCAAAAAAAAAAAATAAAATATATATATATATATATGATTTCAAAATTTTAAAAGTTATTATGAATTACTTATAATTGCATGCATGAGTCCCAGTATAAATAGTTATAGATAATTATTGACTGATTTTATTATTGTGATATTTTTTGAGTTATATCAAGTACTAAGAATATAGTAACTAGGGTCCGCAAATTGGAGGAGAGAGTTATCAATGATAATGTTCTGACTTCGAATCTGCTGCTAACTCTCTTTAACACACACATATTCTAATTCTCTCTCTCTCTCTCTCTCTCTCTCTCTCTCTCTTTCTCTCTCTGTTCTTTGTAAATGTACTTTTTATCACATAAAATTTAGTTAGGCTCGAGCAAATTTTCATTCTGAAAATGTGACCCAGAGGAAAAAGAGTTTGAGAACGACTGCTGTAGGGGATGAAGTAATTGAAGTTTACATTTGGTTTAAAAGGACTAATTTTGGTTCTACTGTTTGTTATACCTATGGTCTTGATTTGGTATGTAAAGGTAAAGAATCGAGGTAACTAATCAACAATACCCACAAGTAGCATCTGAGAAAAATTACTACATACAGAGTGATAGAAAAGTAACTTTCTATTTTATGTATGAATGTCCAGTCAAGAGTTCTGACTGTGGCATTTTTTCTTTGGGGTTGGTTAAATGAGCAAATCTAATATACCAAATCAAGACTTTGGAAGAACTTGAATGGCGAACACAAGAAATTATGTCTTCCTTACCACAAGAATTCCTGGTGAAATCAGTTAACGCCATTCCTGGGTGGCTCGAGAAGCTGATAGCAAAATCTGCTGCCCATATCAAATTTTAAATAAAACCTCATGCTAAACGCTTTCCTCTCACATTGTAAAAGTTATAATAAATAAATAAATTGTATAAGTATTTTAAAATGAAGAGTTACTTTTTTCAATTACACTGTAGATAAAATGTCAGAAAGTACAACCGTAATTATACGCTTTCTAATGGAATCGAGTGGTCCCACCGGAAACTACAGCACGGCCCAGAAACCATTCACAAAATGGCTGGACAGTAGCGCCGATATCATATAGCTGATGATGAGATAACCTTCTTATGAGTTATTCTAACGTTTGGATCCATGACTATCAGGCAGAATACGCCAGACGTTTACCTCCAACACCCTTAATGAAGGGACAGACAAACCAAGGATGAGAAAAAAACAGACATACCACTTGAAGTGATACTACGTCGTCTACCCAGAAAATCAAGCAGCAGAACTCCTTAAGTCAGAATCATCATGCCTCACATAATTTAAAACTATATAAATATTTGCAAAGCTCATTTAAAAATGTACAAAAAATACGAGAGTGATGCTTTAAAAATATGTGTGTGTGTATAAAATTACTTCAAACGTATCTAAATATATAGTTGTATGTGTTTGAGTGTGGCTGTTTGAGTGAATGTGTGTGTGGGTATGTATGTGCATGTGAATATAATTTAAAACTAAATTCATACAAAGGTTTCCAATTTAGAAACTTTCGTAAGTCAGCAGTTACAAACATTCATTTTGGTGAGAAGCTATCAGTATTTTTTTTAAAGATATCTTTTTCTATTGTTAATTTCAGCTCAAAATAACAAACGCGGTAAAACTAAACCTTTTTTTTTTTTTTTTGCTCTTTTCTATTTCGTTTTATTTATTCATTCACTGCTTTTCTTTTCTATTTTGTTTTCGTTTTTTTTTAATTTTATCCGTTTATTAAGCTTCGTCATCTGACATCTTTTTTTTTTTATCTCACTTTATCCGTACCGTCAAAAGTGATGACAATATTTAAGGAATTTTGCAATTGCTTTCTGTTTATCTAATATCAAAAAAAATACGTTGATTTGACTTTCTATGTTTTTATGTTTGCTTTCTGAATGTTAAACTCAGCAAAACGTCAAATGAAGTCAAGATAACAAGTTATCCTACGCCTCGATTCTATAATGAAAGCACTTACAATAAATGAAGCTAATATTTTATATGTTAAACATTTGCCTTGAAATATCGCTCAAAGGGATGAAACGTGTGGACTAAGATAAGTTTTCCTTTTGTCTTTTATATTTTACTTTAAAAATTTACACTTGAGTTTCACACAGATGAAATGGTTGAAATAAAAGGAATGGGTCGAATTTTTAATAATTTAAAATAACATTTTTAAAATTTTCACTAATGAAACGCTTTAGGGTCGGGAATAAATTTCCTGGATATTTAATAAAAGGATTGCTCGGGTGGATTTCTCTCTCTCTCTCCCTCTATCCCCCCTCTCTCTCTCTCTCACTCTCACTCTCTCTCTTTCTCTTTCTCTCAAAAGATCGTTCCATCACATTTCTTCAAAACTCAAAAGTATTTATCAACAGGGTAAAATGCATCTTAAAAGTTCCTTTAAGAAAATCTCTCTATATAAAACAGAGGATGTCTTT